ATTAGTTATCATGTCAGAGCAGTACGTATCTTACTAGGAAATAAAATTGAGAAATAAAATCCAAATCCGGATATTTACTAATGTTCTAAAATGCTAAGTAATAATCAATCTGAAATATTTGCAATCAAGTAATACTTTTTCTTAATAGATTATATTTCTTTAAGTATTTGCTTGTTCCCAGGCCTAGACATTTCCTGACTTTTGTTAAGTAGACAGACTCAGTGTCTAATTGAGAGAGGATGTGAACAGACCAGATGACATGGTGTAATTCACATAAAGGAAGTCTACTGTTTTGATGTTTATAAGCTCCATATGCTAGTTGTTTGTACTTTGATAAGAGCATTTTTGGTACACAGAACAAACCACAAGATTCACTACATACCTCTATACAAAATTTATGCATCTTTTGTGTATCAGAAAGGACTGAAAAGGCAAGAAGGAGGTTGTGTTGTATACCAATCAGTGTGACTTGCTGTTTAATACTTTTAACTTAACTGAAGAACTAAGCCCAAATATTTTTAGAGTTTAATACATGATATATAGGGGATAGATATATTACGTTAAATTACAAAATATGTTAAAAAGTTTACTATTCCTATCATTATTTGTGAATAATATTGCAAATTTGTGATTTTGGGTATTTGTCAATCATACAGTTATGATATATACGAGATAGAACGTGCATAATATAGCCAAATTCTTCATTATGCTTATTTGGTTTCATCAAGAAGGAAGATTATATGATTTTACAGGGACACTTTTCAAACATAGCAAATTGTTGCCTTGAGATTGCAGAACTAAACAACAAAACATTTTAGCCTCAGCTACTGGTGCCTGTATCCCCCTCTCCAGGAAGCACATAATGGCAATGGGAAGATCCCTCTGGCCAGAGAAGGAACAGTTGCAGAGTTCTTCCTTCCTACCAGAAATAACATTTGGAACCAAACTAGCTGGTTACATATTCTACCCTTTTAAGTAGGAGGATTATCTCTTTCTCTCTTTCTGTCTTGTGGGCACAGCAATTCAATCAGTTTATGCTTTCAACAAATTCTTTATAAATTTGGTGAATGAGTAAACTATCTTGCCTTTGATGCTTTCTCCTCAAGAGTATTCCCATCTGAGATCTAAGCTTTATTAGACAGGGTTCTTCAGAATGGTGGGTAAGATTTATTAGTGTCCATGATAAGTGGCTCCAAACAATCATATGATTGTTCCCACCATTTCTGTTAATCTAAGTGGCTGGAGGGATGGAATTAACATCAACACAATTCTTAATCTGTTACATAACCCAAAATAGAAGCACTTTAGAGTGCCTACTGTAAAATGATGCCTTCCACATTTTGAAGTTAATTAGTTGATAACAATCTAGCATATTGATAAAAAGCCTAGAGAGGGGGGGGGTGGGCTATGGGAACTCCTCATCCCAATCCTGAAATGAATGTGGATGCTGAATTCTGAAGCTTTTAACACCTGCTAAATATAAGATGTATACTGTTGAGTCCTTGGCGAAAAGCAGACACGAGAAGCAGTTGTAGTTCTCAGTTTTCTTTTATTCTGTGTTCAGTTCACAAGTAGATGGCTTCAGCAGCTCCCAAAACCTCCCAGCTTCTTATATAGACATTTCCCGGGTCAATGCGATACTTTTCCCGCGCCAGCACACGCGCATGCGCACGGCGCTGGCGACAGCCTGTCTGGTCCCGGGCAGCTTTGCACCTGCCCGGGACCGCCTGCAAACGCCCCGAGCCATTTGCAAGGCTCGGGACATAACATATACATTCAAAGTATTCTGTAGAATTAGGGAAAAAACATTCCATTGTTTTATATAACTACATTTTCATTTCTATTTTAACTTTATCTGGCTGGGGTGCGTACGTGTAACATTAACTTTTTATTTTATCTACTAATGCCTTTCAGTGCATTTTCCAGAAAGATGACTTTATTACCTGCTAATAAATATGAATGGAAGAAGGGAGTTGCCTTCCATTTGCTAAGAAAAGTCATAGTACCTGCTGTCTGGAACAGCACCCCCTGGAGATGTGTATAACCCCCACCCTAACCTGCTTCCAAGTGAGACCTAAAAACCTGGCTCTTTTCCTAGATATTGGTTTAGGATATTTGGTGGGAGTAATATCTGTTCCTTCAAGTGCAACTTCATTCTTTTCTAATGTAGTTATCATCAACTTGTTTTTTATTCTTGTGAATCACTTTGAAGTCTGGCAAAAGAAAGAGAAGAAGGGAGGAAGGGAGAGACAGAAGAGAAGTCCATAAAACCATACTCAGTGCTTCCCTCCTTTTGTTGCTGAAAATAAGAAAGAATAAAGGAACATTGTGTTGAAAGCAAACAAATATGAGAGAGGTACAAATAACCAAGTGTCAAAAGATTGGGAGAAGCTGTGTTTCAAGAGGATGGAAGTGAACAAGTTAGATTCGCCCTCCAGAAGTAGAGAGTGGATATTAGCAATGGTAAGCTGCTGCTGTCCATTGAGGTTCTTCAGTAAAGTAAGGGTTCAGGAAAATCAAAATCTTCCATCAAGCAGAAAGTCTCCATGAGGACAGAAGCTTGTCACTACTAATATTCACAGAGGGAAGTATGTTTAATGGGGCGTATGTAGACACCTCAAGCATACATACTTGAGGAGTGAGAGCCATTTAATTCAATTCATATTACTATTGAAAAGCATATATTGTTTGGGTCTAGCTCAGTTCAGAAATATTTCTTTTTCTTGACCAAGTATATATATGGTAGTGAAAATAAATTATGAGTTACATGATGAAAGAAGAAGTCAACTTTAAGCATAATCTTTATTTCCAATAATTCCTGAGTCATAAAATAGGTCTTTAAAATTTAAATTTAAATCTTTAAAAATTAGAATATGGGCAGCTGTATCCCTGTGTTGAGTCTTCAGATGTGCTCATTTGCTCAGAAAAAAAGTGTTTAATTGAGAGAATTTTAAAAGGAGACTGGACAATCCATGCAGAATAGGACTATACAGAGTTGTCTGCAGGATAAATGATAAGTGACAAAGATACTGCATCCTATTTATACATGTGTATGATTTAATAAGAGAAGGTGGAGCTTGTATTGTATTGCAGAAGTGCAATACTGTTTTTGTCATTTCCCTCCCTTGCAGATATTACTAAGACTATCAGCATCTGTAAATTACCTAATCACCTACTAATAAGTAGGTGAAGTATCTAGTTACTTACCTCTTGAATAACAGGCAGCATACAACACTAGTGGCACACAGTGCAATAGTGGCAAAAAAGCTTTTTCCCTCCTGACCATGTCTATAAGCTTCCCGATTACATTTGGTCAATTGCCAATGCATCAATATTGCAGGTGATCTAGCAGAGCTCTTCTAAGCTCCTTGTGATAGCTAATTATCTCCCAGGGTTTCCAAAATATGAGTTTTGCTAATAAGGTCTGTTGATACCAAAGTAGTAATATCTGTTTATATTTATGTAAAGATTGCTCTAAGTGCATCCATTTTTTGTACTATGACTGTGCAAACCTTTGAAGCGATGCTTTATTTTGAAGCTATTTTCATGTTGCCCGTCTCCTTGAAGGGCAGAATTAGAGTGGGTGAACCTCCTGGATCTGGATGCTAAATAGGCTTCTGTGCGGCACCTGTTTCCACCAAAGGGGGGGGGGCAGACTAAATCAGCCCCTTCACATTCACCTGTCTCACAGGTGAGATGTTGAGAGGTATTATGGGGGCAACCTCTCCCCCACCCAATGGATGGAATTGGCAGGGCCAAAGAACCAAGAACGACTTATGGAGTCACTTCTGAGTAGTTTTTTTTATTGTTGTTCACCTACAAACAGAAATCTTTTCAAAGTAAAGCAACTATCTGCATAACTATTAGATATACTCTGTGAATTGCTAGGGAGTGACTGTTTTAACCCTCTTCCTGCCAACCAACTTTCCAAGCTCCACTTTGCCCTCTGATAAGGTGACCAACCGTCCTCCTTTAGGGAGGACAGTCCTCCTTTTTTAAGTTCCGTTCTCCCTCAAAAAGTGTGCTCCTATATGTCCTCCTTTTCAATATTTGAAGACTAATCTGCAGGGCTTTTTTTTCCCTCATAGAACGCTCAGAATGGCATCCCGGCACCTTTTTTTAATTTTTTTTTTCAACTTTTGCATGAGCTGTGCTACTCCCACTATTGGCTTTCGAAAGCCAATAAGAATTGCTGCTGAGCACGCCAAAACACCAGGCTGGCAAACTTTGCACATACAAGTTGTCTGTATTATTGTTGCAATGAATAAAATGTTTTTTTATTTACGATATTTTTTTCTTCAATTTATTTGTGTCCTCCTTTTCATTGTTAAAAAGTTGGTCACCTTACCTCTGAGAAAGAGCCCCTCCCTCCTATGACTCCAGACTACATTCCATCACAGGCCACTATCTGCTACTGAATGAAAGGCAGGATATTAATTAATTGCATTTTAACTGTTCCCAAGAATTTAATTGTTATGCTTTGTATACTGATCAGGCTGACCACCTGATTTGTAGGAAAAATGGGCAAAGCTCCATGATTTCAGAAACTATTTTTTGTAAGAAATTATTGTTTATATCCCTGGTTTCTGGCAGGGATAGGGTAAGCAGAATCATGACATCTTCTCTCAAATTATATAGTCATTTACACAATTATGTCAGGATACATATGAGATCAGTATGGTCTGTGTTGTATGCTTATGTATGTAGCTTTTAAGCATCAGGTTCACCATTAACAGGAGAGGGCAATATTTATGGACAGGCAGTATTACTAATTGTTAAGCTGCAAATTACTAGTCATGAACCAGTGATGTCACTAGAGGGGCAATTTAAGATTTTTTTTTCTGACAGTGCTTAGTTTGTTTTCTGGTTATGTAAATTAGATTTATCTCAAGATATACACATTAATCTTTGTAATGTTTTTATCTGTTTCAGTTGTATTTTTAATTTATTTCCCTATTTTTGGTTTTACTGAAATTTTGAATCTGTCTCATGTTTTTCAGGGAGGAAAGTCCTATACTGGACCATGTGGAGGGAGAGATTGCAGTGGGGGCTGTGAATGTTTCCCAGAAAAAGGAGCTCGTGTGAGTACCAGCATCTTATTGCATTAAAAAATCCTATTATTTTAATGGATTAGGGTTTTTTAACCATTAAATTTGGTATAGGGGTCTGAAATTAAGATATTAATGAGTATAATTAAAATATAAATGAACCAATCCCAGACATGCAGATTGACAGCTTCTTGATAAAAAACAAAATAATCTGGAGCTAGACTTTCACACCTCTGTAAAATACTCATTTATCAGAAAACAACAGGTAAGTTTATCTCTTGCCTTTACAAGTTTCACTCCTGCCTTTCCTTTTTTTAAATCCTTGGAGGATAAATTCATTCTGAAATAAAGGATAGAGAATATCATTTTTCATTCTTGAAAATACTGTAAAGATAATGCTATATACTGTATATTAGGTACTCTGTTTTGCAAAATGCCAATTTCCCAATTGTATTTTAATTGCAAGTATCTTTAAAGGCAAGAATCTCAATGGAAGCCAAAGTGGAATCTGTGGGCCCCATGGACCTCATGTTGCCACTATCTGTATTAATGGCCTTGGCTGGCAGGGGTGCCCACACAGTAGGCCTATGGCTTGTCAGAATGATGAAAGCAATGTGGGAACACAAGGAGAAACCTCTCCTTTTCACAATGTAAAAAAGTAAGGCTCTACATTTAGGCAAGAAAAACCAAATGTACAGTTTAGGATAGGTCTGTGGTGGATAGGTCTGTGATGGCACGTGTGCCACAGGCAGCACGCAGAGCTGTCTCTAGTGGCACGTGACCCATTGCTGGACCAAGCTGCTTCCCTCCTCCTCTTTGCACATGTGCAGTGCTTCATGCTCTCTGTGCATGCACAGCTCTTCGTGCTCTCTGCGCATGTGCAGCTCTTTGCACTCTCTGCGCATGCGCAACACTCCAGGAGGTGGCTGTTTGGTTTTTATTCCCCTCCTATCTGCTGGGTGGTTGCAGCAGGTTTTGGTCTCTTCTATCGTGCTTTGAGGTTACCCACGAAGCACGCTTGTTTGGGGGGATCCCCACTCTGATTGCTAAGCTTGCTTAAACCCCCTTCCTCCTCATCAGAGCCCCCCTTTGTCTGCAACCAGCCCCAGACCCAGCCCCTGCCTCGCCTTGTCTTGCCCCATGCCTCGCCCTGCCCTGCCCCCTCCCTTGCCTCACCTCGCCCTGCAGGACGAGCCTCCTACCGACTGCCCCACCTGCCAGAGAACCCCTGGATCTCCCCCAATCCTGCCTGCCCAGCCCCCCAGGCATCCCTCCCCAGGAGCAACATCGAGATGGCCATGCCCACCCAGGCCATGCCTACCCACACTACCATGACTACCATAGCCACACCCACTTGGTGGCCACGCCCCTGGCACCCAGCAATGCATAAGTAGTTTCGGGTTGCACTTTGGGCACTCGGTCTCAAAAAGGTTTGCCACCACTGGTATAGGTGGTACCTTGCTCAATAGTAGTAACTGTGAGAGGGACCTCGGAGTCCTAGTAGACAATCACCTAAATATGAGCCAGCAGTGTGCTGCAGCTGCCAAAAAGGCCAACACAGTGCTAGGCTGCATTAACAGAGGGATAGAATCCAGATCACGTGAAGTATTCATACCACTCTTCAATGCCTTGGTAAGGCCACACTTGGAATACTGCATCCAGTTTTGGTCACCACAATGTAAAAAAGATGTTGAGACTCTAGAAAGAGTACCGAGAAGAGCAACAAAGATAATTAGGGGACTGGAGGTTAAAACATATAAGGAATGGTTGATGGAATTGGGTATGTCTAGTTTAATGAAGAGAAGGATAAGGGGGGGACATGATAGCAGTGTTCCAATATCTCAGGGGCTGTCACAGAGAAGAGGGAGTCAAGCTATTTTCCAAAGCGCCTGAGGGCAGGACAAGAAGCAATGGATGGAAACTAATCAAGGAGAGAAGCAACCTAGAACTAAGGAGAAACTTCCTGACGGTTAAAACAATTAACCAGTGGAACAACCTGCCTCCAGAAGCGGTGAATGTTCCAACACTGGAAGTTTTTAAGAAGAGACTGGACAGCCATTTGTCTGAAATGGTATGCCTTAAAAATAAATAAGAATTTCCTATCAGAACATTTAAACATTCTCATTAAAGAGAAATAATCTTAATCAGGAAGGAACATTTCAGTGTCACTTTCCTAATGAATAAATAATACAACAATGATTGAGGTCATTAGAGGTACTGGCATTAAAAAGCAAGACAGACGATTTTCAGATGTTACCCTATTTTTGAAATTATTGTGCTGTTCTTATTCTAAAACTATTAAAGCATTTTGGGTCTTGGAGAATATAATTTTTGGAAAGTTTAATGTATGATATAAATGTTGAAATTCCTCAAACTCACACTTGCTATGTATGTTATATTTATAGATCTTTTATGGATGCCTTTTAATATTAATATTGCTTATGTTTATTTATTTCTCTACTACAAACAACAAGATATCCTCTGGGTATTTTCACTTTATAAATTAGGAAAATAAGTCAAATGACTGAGAGAAAAATACAATTTGTGTAATTTACTACAAAGATGAGGGAAGGTTAAGAAATAATGGAAACACCTTTTTAAATTTTTTTGAATTATTAAGTTACTGTGTATAGCTATTTTTTCAACAATATTTACATGAGAAAAACTTTCATCTTCCATATCAGGATACAGAGATCTAACTGATTGAGGAAAACTTTTTAAACTTAATTTTCCCAATACTATGCACATTTTGATGGAACACAATCCCTTGCCTCTGATCATCCCAGGTTTTAGTTTCTGAAGCCCCAAAGGAAATGGGGAGGGGGAATGAGCTAAGATCACAGATGTTGGGGGTGGTGGAAAAGGAAGCCCTTCCTGATAACATTTGGCAAGAAAGGAAATACAAGAGCAGATATGTTTTGTTTTGTTTGTGGGTGGGGTATAACTCAGTTCTTTAGTGTTCCAACTTATTCAATATCATTAGCTTCCTTCTCTCTGAAATTTGTCCCCTGAAATTCCTCCAGGAGTGGGATTCACTTATCAATTCATTTCAGGTCCAGGTCACAATCTACATAACTGTGGAGCCATGCCAGTTCAGATGATGCTGACATAACATCAGATATGATTGTCTCAAAAGGACACTGCATAAATGTACATCGGATTGCAGGAATAGATTGATTTATCAATATGTATTACTTCTTAAATCTTGTCTGTTAGGATTACTTTGTCCAGAAAATCTCTCTTCTGTGTGTTTAGGGGGAATGGGAGGCAGCAGCAGAATGAATGACTGTCAGAGGAGATGGTTATATTGTACAAAACAGTAGTGGGGGGGGGGGTATCTGTCTTCTTGTGCTTCCCATGGGCATTGAGACTCTTGAGGTTCAGAGACACTGAATAAGGTTACATAAACATTTGAATGATTTCTTCACAACTGTTTCTTTGAGGAGAATCTAAGAGGAAACACAACCTCTGTTGGCGTGGACTGGATCCCATTTCTGTTTGCATCTACATAACCCTTGCAGAATTGGAAGAGGGAGCTGTAGATGTGGATGGGGATACTAAAAAGGGCTCAACATTAAATAGTACTGGTTAAGGAGGCCAAAACCATTTTGCTCAGTATTTCTATTCTCCTCCCGAAATGATTTTAGTGAATGCCATGTAAGTTAGTTAAACTACTGTGGAATTTAATCCCATTGGAAGAGATGATCAGATATGCAGTCTGCAACCCTGCAGCATCAGGGCTTTTTTAATCTAGCTTTTAGAAGAGTGAGTAAATGGAGGAGAGTCACCAAATGCCGGAAGATACTATCTTGGTCAATGGGCAAACTATTCTAATCAAATCTACACAGCTATATTTAACCTTTTAGGATCTGTAGGATTGTTTTGATTCTTGCCCATTCATTTACCTAACAATTCTTTAAGAGTTGTCCTTTAAATGTTGAAAACATCTTGGTAGCCAGTTGATTTTTAAGGCCTGTATTATGCTTGCTAAATTTGTGTTACCAGTTGTTTCTCAAAACATTGTGGCTAGCATCAAAGTTGTGAGACCGATTCAGTATACTTCTGTCCTTAAATACTTGGCAAATCACACATCTAATTTGGTTTTGAATGATCTATGGGTGAAAGTCCTTATATAGGTCTCTTGACATAGGCAGTTATTTAGTGAGCATGTAACTAATAACAACTTGGAACCTCTCTAGAAAAGACCCCAAACTCTAGAAGTTATTGAATCCAATGTGTGCTTGGAAAAATTCTTAGAGAATCAACCATCTATATTGTACCATATATATTGCACCCCTAATTTATTTTAGGAATTAAGAATTGACTAGGATTGCTGATTCTATTTATCTTAATCACTCCATTAATTTCCTGGATGATAGAAAATTGATGAACATGAAATGATTGGAACATACATTAGATGGGTAAATCTGATCAAATTTATTAATTAATTTATCAAATTTAAATACTGCCCATCTCATTGACTTAGTGATCCTGGCAATGTACAACTATATCTCAAGCCAATGCAGCCATAGTAATTTTGTGTGCAAAAAAATGAAATTTAGTTTACAGACAGCATTGCTTCAGAATACAATTAAGAATTATTTAGGATAGCAAAAATTTGGATACAGCTCCTGGCAATGACCTTTTGAAATTATTTGCGTTTTCCAAGGGATTTTATTTTCAAGTTTTATCAAGTACTCCAATATGAACACTGTGTTAGAGTTTTCTCCATAAGTTATTTTATTATTATTACTATTATTATTGTTGTTGTTGTTATTATTATTATTATTATTATTATTATTATTATTTAATACTGATTTTTAATCTACCAATCCTGGATTACCATGGATCCAAACTTCACCAGCACATGCTTTAAAAAAGACATGTATTAGTTTCAGTATCACTGGGAAAGAGGGCAGAAAAGGAAAAAACATTGCAAGAAGGGTAAATGTTGAATAAAAATAAAAATGCATCAAATATACATCAAATACAAACCTAACCCTACAAACCTAAACCTAATTCCTCCATCCAGT